ACTCTATGATGCGTGGTTAGCAATAAATATCGAGGCTCCCTGGTACTCGAAAGGGTGGCTGGCCAGAGGGTGGCCGGAAGGTGACTAAGGAGGACGAAGCAGCGGCTTCTTCTCTGACGCTAAGCCCCCTCCACGAGAACCATCAAGCCGGGTTGAGGTGAGATGTGCTACCATGAATTGCGTCTGACTCCATTACTTGACTCTATCCTTTAACTCTCATGCTCTCTATGACTTTACTATAATCTCTACTTATTATCGCTGTACAATTGCGCCTACCAAACCTGTGATGTTTTGTGGGGTTCCCTCTTACCCTTAACCCCACAGCCCCCAATAAAATGATTTTTTTTAATGTTGATGGCAACATATGTACAAGTGCGCATAATACAAATGATGGATTGTCATAGCTTTTTAAGACCCCACCCCCCACAAGTCACTTCTACCACGACCAGTGCATCTACCAGCCTGATGCTGCCAAGACTCTCTGTGGCCCTCTCCTGGGAGCAGAGCTGGGAGGCAGGCTCTCCACCTTGCCCAGGTTCCCTCCCCAACTCCTCCACCCAGCCTGTGCTGCAAGCAGAGTGGGGCAGTGGGCAGAAGGTGGCAGCACTTGGAATCCTAGGTTTCTACTGGAGACATCTGGCCTGGACGAGCCCCCAAGCCTTCTCATTGGTCCCACCCACTGGGCAAGGCCATGGTGCCACTTTGAAAGGTGCTAGCTACCTAAAGCCTGGACACGCCTAAGGCTGCCCCATATTCATTCTTTCACCCTGGCCAGATCAGAACCCGACAAGTGTATCTGCTTTTACCACCAACACTGCCCATCTTGGTGTGCGTCTCTGAGGGTTCCCCGTTATTTTCTCTCTTCCTGCACTTTATCAGGGGAGTCCTTCCATTTCTACCAGGTGGCTATCCAAAGGGTTGGGCTCACAGATCATCCCCAATCTTCCCACCCCTGTCACCCTTTTACCCGAAGAACTACCAATATGTAGACTGATTCTCAGTTGTCTCCTTCCTCTCTGAGAAAATTACCTTCAGTTCTTCCCCCACTGTGGCTGGCGGGTCAAGTATCACAGGGAGCGGCCCCTGCCTCTCAAGTCTGAAGGGTGGTGCTCCCATGATTCCGTGTACAGTATCACAGAGCCTTTGTCTTGTCTTTCTCTCACTCACAGTTTAAAGGCTATTGTGTGGATAATTAAGGAGACCTTTTTGTTAAATACATTTTGGGGATTAGGTTTGCTGAAAACTTATGTTGGCGGAGATACATCCCAGTGAGTGGGAAGTGGACTTCCAGTTCCCCAGAACTAGAGGCCTGGCCAGCTGGACTGTGATATACTGGTTTGTGGCCAAAACAATAGAAGCAGCTTTTGGGGGCGGGAGGGGGGAATGGGGAACAGGGCAAGGCATGCAACCTGATTGGAGTATTGAAGGGTGGGGTGAGGGGTGGGGTTGGTGAAAATGCACACACATTTAATATTTGATAGATTCTTGTGAACATTAACATTGAGTATTCGCTGCTGCACAGTATGAAGTCTTTGAAGTGAAATTAAAAGTTCTTATTGAGTACCACAAAAAAAAGACCCCAATGAAATGATTAGTTAGGGAAGAAAAGAACCCTGGTCTCTACCCACTAGATGCTAGTAGCATCACCTCACCTCCCAGTTACAACAATCAAAATGTCTCTAGAAATTGCCAAATGTCCCACGAGGGCTTCAATCATGTCTACATAGACAGTGCAAGCTTGCCGAGCTATCTATTTGTTCTTATGCAGTAGCTCAGAGATTTGCCCAACTTTCACATTGTCCCGATGTTTCAGGTCCTCAAACTACAAATGACACTCCAGAGATGAGAAGAAAAATTTCTTTTATTGTCAGATTATTACTTTAAAAATTTAATGTTTCATAAAATAAAACAAACTTTTAGTACCATAGAAACCTTTCAACACGTGCAGTGACGTATTATTACTATGTACACCTCTGAGAAGAAATACTCCAGGCTCCACGCACAGTGAGGCTCAGCAGCCCAACTACGCTAAAGCTGGAGGAAACTTACTGGTTGCCCAATTTTCCTTCACTTAGGAAAAATATATGATTGAAAAAAATATAAATAAAACCTTCAATGAGCTAAAAACAATAAAAATGCTTTCTGAAGTTCAGACACCTGGATCTTAGGAGTTTTTAATCACTATGAGGTTTAACTGAAACCCTGTAGATATTCAAAATCAGTCTTCCGAGAGCGGTCCTTCAATTCAGAGTCTATCAAAAATAAAAGCTGTTCCGATCATGGTAGTGCCTGGCATTTGGCTCATATACCATTCTTCACCAGCTCGTGGGTTCCATTCTCATCAATGATTAGCGGTGCCTGGAATTCTTTATCTGCCACGTAACTTTCTAGCCCCTAAAAGAAAGGTTAACATGAAATCCAGAAATGTGTTTATGCAATGGGAGACTTAGTAGCCATAATGATGATTTAACGTGTGAATGCCAGAAGTTGAGTTAAGACACAGAATTTTAAAACTCAACAAAAAACTATTTAATATGGCTTTAATGGTGAACTTAATCACCCACCAATGGAGCATAACACCTGGAGCAAAAGAGGAAAACTTATTGATTATATTATCATTTCTAAAGAAAATGTGATGGTCATTCTTCCTAAAATCATCACACGTTCAAAGCAAGGTGGCTGTCTCTGACACTGGAATTAACCAATGCTGTCAAAGATTTCCAGGGGAAAAAATAGTGCATAATTAAAATGTTAGAGACCCCTACATCCCTAACTTCTAAAAGCAACAGCATTGGGTACACGAGCAAAATAGTCTAAGAAGAAAAATAGCATTGCATTAAAATTGCCAAATGAAATCTAAAAACAAAGTTGATTACATATTTTAAAAGCCCATTGAATTTCCATATTTAGGTGAAGTGGACTAAACTTCTATTAATGGTCACTAATGCATTTATAAGATAAATGCAAAGCCCTATCAGGAATTCTCAAAGAAGATTCAGAACAAATACAGCTGTCCTCAGGAAGAGCTCCTGAGGACAGGACCATAAGGCAATGCTGCGTGTTCCACACACCACCACCAGAACCCTACATTTGTAAGACAAGGAAGAAAAGTAGTGCACACTTACTTCTCCGGCATAGGAGATAAGAGGAGAGATTTCACACTGGATTGGTAAATCATTGGCATCCTTCAAACTATGGAAAAACAAAACACTTGTTAAAGATTTTGCTTCTCGGGTTACTTGCCACCGTGAAGGTACAGACCATGAATTTCCTCCGAGTAGCCTGCAGGTAAATCTCCTACTTGAGCCAATGCAACGGATCCCATCTGGATAGTCACTAAATTCCCGAAAGATTAAGTTAGCAATGGAATTAGAAAGGTCAGAAAGATATCATTTGAGGCAAATGCAAGGAATTCAAGCACATCTTAAAAGCACATCATCACTATGCCTTATGTACATCTCATTTTTCATCATTCCCAAGTTGTAATCAGATAAAGGAGAGAACTGCTTGTTGAATGTATACTGTGTGCCAGGCCCACTACTAGGTATTTTGAATCCTTCATATCTTATGTTGATCCTCAGCATAATCTTGCCAGTTAAATAGTAATGCTAACAAACATTCTAAAGTGCCACTGTCCCACCAGCCACATGTGTCTATTTAAACCTAACTTTTAGTTTAAAACAATTTTAATGCAGTGCCTCAATCAAAATAGCCACATTTCATGTGCTTAGTAGCCAGATGACCACAACAGTAAACCTCACAGGTGCAGACCAATCCCTCCATTGTACAATGTTCTCTTGGGCAGTACTGTTCTAAAGGTCATCCATGTTCTTTCCCAGTACATTTTTTTCTGTGTATGTCACTGTTTTACTATATATTTTGCAGATTGGCTGAGCTTTGTGGTACTAAGAGGAAAGTTATATTCAGACCAGCTATGTATAGCACGGGGTCATAATCATCTTTTAATCCTGGAATACTCAATCCCTCATGAGTCCAGCTGAAACTGACTGCACACACTCATCTTATCAATGGGATCATTTGGTTCATTTGGCTCTGAATTGTTCTAGAGTCGGGGGTGGACTGCTGATGCTCTTTTGACCAGAATCTGGCACATGTTTAGAGAGATGTTAATAAAGTTGGATAGTCAGCAAGTGTAAAATGCTGGGTCATATAGGCAATTAGTCTAACAGCAGCTAAGATTCCCACCCCCGCCCCCAACAAACCCACTGCGTGGAGTCGATTTGGACTCGTGGTGACTCTATATAAGGTTTCTGGAGCTGCACATCTTTATGGGGACAGCCTCGTCTTTCTGCTATGGTGGGTTTGAGCCACAGACCTTGCTGTTAGCAGTCCAAACAACACTTTCCCTCAACTCTTTAGATGCTAAGTATCCTCTTAGCATCTACTACTGCTCAACAGGCTTTAAGGTAAAAAATTAAAAATAATGTTGCTTAGTCGAAGCTTATTATCCTTGCTTCCATTCTTTAATCTCTAGTCTGTTGCTTCCTTCTTTTATAAAATATAGTTCTTTTCCATCTCTCACTTTTAAGGAAGTTTTTTCCACTCTCCAAGGGTACCCTTTGCTGCTACAGATTTTGGTAAGAACTATTTCTGAGTCCGTACTCTTACTAGCGCCCAGACTTTTATTTCAGTTTAACTATTCTACAAATGGCTGGACTACAGAGTGTGTGCGGTGGGGTGAGGGGTGTGTGTGTGGGGGAGGGGAGCAGTGCTACTCTATTTCTGAAATAACTTCCCGCTCCAGATCCTTCATCCTGTACACATTTCCTACATTATCCTGAAAGCTTATATTTCACACCAATCCAAGTGACTCTGAAAGTATGGCAAGAACATCAGCCTGTTCTCTTCATGGCAACCCTATATTGGGGTTTTGAGGCTGCCAGTCGTTCCGAGAGCAGTTAGGCTTATTGGGTGCTCTGTTCCTATCAGCGAGTGTAAATGTGACAAGAGGCTTTGATTCTGTAGAAAGGTGCTGTGGGGTTGGGAGAGAAACAGACACCAGCCCTGCTTAGAAGAAGATTCTCTGATGCGCTGACAAAAAATGTGAAACTGTCTGTTACAGATTAGTTAAGTAAGCACAAGTAAGCTCGTGCTTACCTTGCTTATTGGGAACTCCCACGAGTAAAGCATGCTCCCGTTTCCTGCATGCACTGGGATTCTGAGTTAGTCTCATCCAGAAATCTGCCACCACGTAAGCAGTACACCCGCACCAAGATTCCAACCATCCTCCCCATGCTCCCAAGAGGCACGGACTGACGGCAAGGCCAGTTAGTATGGAGGAAGCACAGCCCCACCACCGTGCACGGCAGGCAGGCTGGTATATTTACTTGTGATTGACATCAGCTGTGATGGTCTCTGACTCTCCATTTGTAGCACCGCTATTAGGAATAAATACGCATTAATGGAAATGGAAACAAATCAAAACAGTAACAATGAAGTCAGGTTGCAAAATATACTTCACCACATAGTAAACCAAAACGGAACAAACGAGATGAAAGTAGGCAGGGGTGGGGGTGTGGGGAACTTCTGGGGAGGTTTGGTGGCCAGCGATGAAGCATGAGGGCAACCTGACATGCCACAGAGCAAGCTCGTTGTCAGCACAGTAGCTGGAAATGGCCCTGGACTGCAAGACAGGCTACCACGATGTCACTTGTCAATACACAATTATGGGGCCAACAAGCCTAAAGCCCAGTGTTCCAACAGTCATCAAGGCACACACAGGCCCATCATTTTATCCCTGAAGAATATAAATTATAGGCAGAATGTTTTTTACCTAAGCACAAGAATACTGAATGATTAAGAAGGGAAAAATTGTAGGTGCTAATGAAGGTTCATCACAAAATATAAGAACCATTTAACTGTGTCTTAGACAAACTCAAGCCAAGCGCACTGCCATCAAGTTAGGGTCAGCTCAGAGTAACCTCAGAGGACAGGATAGAGCTGGCCCTGTGCGTTTCCAAGACCCAATGATGGAGCAGAACAGCTAGCGGTTTGGAACTGCTGACCTTGCAGTTAGCAGCCCAACACATAACCAGTATGCCACCAGGGCGCCCCTGTCTTGGGCAGGAATTGCTAAAAGTAGTTTTATTTTAACTTCTAAAAACTCAGAACATTTCTTAAATTTGAGTTATCAATGAATGTAAAATGGCATTCACTCCCCTTCTTGGCACCTTCCTTGGCAAATTCACAGGGCTCTGGTGAGAATCGTGGGGATCTTACTTCCCAAAGGCAGCATGTGGGTGGCAGGTCTTTTGTGGGCTGCATGCACAGCACTTGCAGTGAGGCTACAGATACATGGGCAGCAACAAGCAGCTTTCTGTGACTAAAACATGTTCAGCATGGGCTCTTGCCCTGCCAGTGGTGTATAGCATGCTTTAACCATTAGGTAAAACTAAGGAGTTACCTTCCCACCATTATCCACTAGGAGGCTTTCCCCTGATATGGTGATGCACCCGGAAAAACAAGAGAGTTGAAAGCAATACCTCTTTAAGAGGAAGTAAAGCTTATCGTTCTCTTTGTGAAGGGCAAAGCTTTCACTGTTTCATATTGCGATCTACCTACTTTAATATTTCCTTTCATTAAAAACAAACAACAGGGATACATCAGAAAAGGAAGAGAAAGAATTCCAAGAGGAAAAAAACGAAGAAGGCATTCCCGCAGAGAAGCCAGGATGGTAACTTACCGGGGAATGGCTGGGAGTCGAGAGCCATTCTCATCTATGAAGTGGCCTCCCGCATTGAGGACCCAGCAGTGGTGAAGAGACATCAGAGCGTGTCTCGCAGTGGTAGGATTGTCTTTCCCATTCTGACTGTCCGCATTCTTCAGCGGGGAAAACTCATCTTCCCGTAATACTTCATATACCACAAACTTTCTAGAGACCAAACATTAAAAGATTTCTCTATCATAATCGACATCAAACTGCACAGCTTCTGACCCCCCTTTACAGAGCGACGGCTTTGGTTTTCCATTATATACTCTTAATCCAAATTCAAACAAATGCAGAATACAATAGTGCCCCCTCTCCTTTGCTCAAGAAAGTTAAGCAAAGCAAAACAAGGGGGATACGAGTTCCTCTATCAACTACAGATCACAAGGATTTAGGCACCCTCATGTTCAAAGTTCACAGTATCTGCTCTGGGTGGAGGAGAGGAGACAAAGCTGGCAGAAAGGATGATTTAGAAATGTGTATGGGCGATTACTTTTACACAACAAATTGGTCTTCTGCATTTTCACACTGGTCAAATTCTGAGGCATTTATCTCAACATCAAATGTAAGATTTTATAGGGAGCTATGCATAAGAGTTAAATTAAAAAAATACTGCTATAAAATCATACATCGTGCTTGGGAACAAAACCACCAAATGTGAAGCTATTACTTCTAGACATAATTTCCATGTAGGTTTATACACTTCTAAATTGTTTTCTTATCTTTAACCCTTCTCCATAGAATCCTGCCCTCTTCAGTAAGTGCCATGTCAAAATAGTCATTTTAGCAGCCTGGGGGAATTCGAATCCTGTCCCTTCCAATTGCCCTTTGAGTTTGGGGAACAAAAAGATGTCTGAAAAGACAAGACAGGGCTGTAGGATGGAAGGAGTAAAATTTCCCAATGAAATTCTGCAGGGCTGCCCTTGCTAACCTTGAAGAATGAACGAGTGAATTGCAGCAATAGAAAAAAATCCGAGATGCAACATTCCTAGCCTTTTTCTTACCAACGGAGTTTTCCATTTTCTTAAAATGTCTTTATAGTAAGTCCTCATGATCGTCCTGTGTCTTAAGAGAAAAATCTACCAGGCCAATCCCTTGGGGATCCTCAAAAACAGTTCCCGTTACTTTCTGAGCTGACCTTTTGACCTTGAATTTACCTGGCCCAACAGATTCCCTCAGAAACAACTGTTTTGACTGGAGATTTTCTCTTTTAAAATTCTATTTTGTGAGAGTGTGCAGAACACAGTGGTTTTCCACTCCGATTGTTGATTGCTGTAAGTGTGTGCTTGGTGTCACAGTTCACCCTGTAGACTTGTCTACTGTTCAAATGAAAAGGGAGCCACAGGGTAAGCTCTTTTCCAGACCGGAAAGGTGACCAAGGGCCATAGTCTCAGAGGTTCCAAGGCTCTCTCTGACCCATAAGGAAGCCTCATCCTTTCATGGTGATCCTTTTCAGAGCACTTCGTAGTATTATCTAGGCATCATCAAGTTCTTCTGGTTCGAGTGAGTGGTACATTAGTTCAAGCGCGTGGTTCATTCGTCTACTGGACAAAACGTGTTTGTGTTTTCAATTTTCACCACTCTTCTTTCTTCCAGGCAGGGGGAATCCAACAGTTGTATCTTCAATGGCTGCGCACAAGCTTTTCAGACCCCAGTCAATACTCACTGAATGAAGTAGGTACAGAACTTGGTCTTTGCGGGCTAAGTGATGCCTGGTGTCCCGAGTCTATGGTCCTGAGGCCCCAGGCCCAGCAACTCATTTCTTCAGGTCTTTTCCTATGGCTCACAAGGTGTCAAAGCCATACCTGCTAGGCGTTCTACTGTATTTATAGCTATACATGAAAGTTTCAAGAAGCTTGTACAGTGGGAGTACAGAGTCGGGACCCAGGGCCCATCTGGGGGAAATTGGACATCCCTTTGCAGAAAGGCTGCGGGGAGGAGAGGAGCAAATCAGAGTGCAGTGTAGTAATGATGAAATGTGCAATTTTCCTCTAGTTCTTAAATGCTTCCTCCACCCCCCAACCCCCCACTACCATGATCCCAATTCTGCCTTGCATATCCGGCTGGACCAGAGGAAGTGCACTGGCACAGATAGGAGCTGGGAATACAGTGAACCCAGGACAGATGAACCCCTCAGGACCAGTGGAGAGGGTGGCAATGGCGGGAAGGTGGAGGGAGGGTGAGGGACAAAGGGGGAACAGATGACAAGGTCTGCATATGGCCTCCTCCCCGGGGACGGACAGAGAAGTGGGTGAGGGAGACGTTGGATGGGGTAAGATATGATAAAATAATAATAATTGATAAGTTATCAGGGGGGAGAGGGGAGCGGGGAGGGGGGGGGAATGAGCTGACACCAAGGGCTCAAGTGGAAAGCGGGTGTTGTGAGAATGATGAAGTCAACATATGTACTCATGTGCTGGACACAAATGACGTATGTACAGATTGTGATGAGTTGTATGAGCCCCTAATAAAATGACGAAGGAAAAAAAAAAAGAAGCTTGTAGAAAAATTCTGATTTTTAATTCCATTTTCCTTGAACTTTGATGTCCCCTCATACTTACAGCACTTAAAGTACATGTAGAAACATCCCATACATTTGTGGCCATTGTATCTTTTGCATCTCCAGCCTTTGTTCAGCTTGACTACCAAGAGTTGCTTGCTATGACTGTTACTGCAGGGTTGTGTGTATGTGCTAGCATTTACCCGCTGCCTCTAACTCTGGTGGTCTACTGAGAGGCGCACCAGGCGTGGGCCATTTGTTTACTACTGATGAGAACTTGTCTGCAGCTATCCACTGAGAGCAAAGACAAGTGCAAACATGTTTTGTTTAGCATAAACCTGTGCATACATGAGCTGGAGGCCTAGTAGCACTACTTTTGATTTGCGTTCGGAATCTAGAAGCATGTTCACTGGAACATTTGCTCATATGTCAGTACAACACTCTAAACACAAAATGAGTCAATTCTTTATCTCAACCATTTCTAGTTTTAGCCAAAATAAATGACTTATCAATTTTATAGGAGAATCAGATAATTAATTAATTTGGCAATTCACTCCTAAATTTGTAGTTTTGTGCTGCAGAGTTATAATGAATTTAGAATAGATGTCATGATCAAAATACCATGCCTGACATATATACTATCAACAATCTTTTAACAGCTTCTACCTGAAATAAAAATAACATGTCAGGATATATATACCTAAGGGGTCTTCAAAATTGGTAGGAAAAAAAATAAAACTAAAGGTACTGAAATTTCCTAAACGGTGCTATTCAAAACATACTTTGCAAATTTGAAGATGTCAAAGACAAATTTTTCCATCTTTATTCCATTTGGTTTGTCCGGCTTAATTAACTGCCCCTGGGAATCCAAATAAGGAATCTTCTTTTGAGCCACATGGTGCTGCAACTGAGGTTCAAAAATACTAAAAAGCAAGGAGAGAGGGGGGAAAAGATATAATCAGCTTCTGGATTTAAAATGACAAAAACCCTGCTAAAAGTTGGGTGTAAATGCATCAATAAATGGTACTATTCTAAAAGTGATGGATATTTGTTATGTTTCAGTTCTTACTTAAGCAGCAAATGAACAGAATTCTCCACTCATGTCCTGATATTAAAGAAATCAAATAATGATTTTTACATGTAAATACATACACAGCTCCATGTATTTTATAAAATGTCCTACTCTTTGCCCCAAACTTCCCAGTTGCAACCCTATCAGGTATGAGATGGAATGATGACTCACTGTGGACAAACTGGTAACAGAGTTCCACGTGTCATGGTAACAGAGGAAACTGGCTGATAGTCTAAAAGTAAAGCTTATGGACTTTTTAAAAAGTAATTGGACATCTTGATTGCTTAGTTGAAGCTACCAAATGAAGAGCAGATGTGAGGGTGTTTTTCATCTAAAACCCAGTGAGACACACAGCTCCTCTCGTATCTAGAACGGCAGCACCTGGCCATGCAGGACCGTTCTCGTATCAAGTTCCTTTTACTTTGCTCTTTAATAAACTACTTTGGAAATGTTAGCCTGGTGATCAATGGTGTTAGAACTATGTGGGCAGCGTTTTAGAAACACAGATGCCCTGAATCTTCTCCAGAAATTCTGATTCAGTAGGTGTGGGTGGACATCCATACATTTTTTAAAGTTTCCAGATGTGGCAGGTGTTTCATTTCTTATTATTTACTTCCCCAGAGCGTAGCGCCGTAGGAGGAAGGGGAAGGAGAGAAGACAGATCAAAAGTTCTTTCGAGTCCAGTGAACGTTCTGAGTCATGGGCTCGTATTAGTTCTAATCCTATGGAATACCTTTACCTTATGAAAACAACTACCATGTCAAACAACTACAACATGAGGTCAGTTTCCACTTGAGAAAGGTGATCCAAAAAGAAGCTGTATTATACGGGGCACCCATCTCTCCCTCAAGGGGATTTGCTTCTGATTAACTGTGTGCTAAGTTGAAAGGGCCCCATCTCGCTCATACTTGACTACATCTCTCAGGAAAGGGACGGTGAAGAAATGGTTGGCGATGTTTCCTGCATTGAACAGCAGCCGTCCATCCGCGCTTCGTTTTTGTGCGGTTGCGAGGGAAATTTCACTATACTCCACCACCTGGTATACTCCATCCACACGGCACACCACTCCAACGGGTTCTGTGGGGTTAGTTTTCTCGACCACCTGGTACAGGAGACAAGAGGAAACAAATAAAATGAAATGTTCTTTCACAGGCTATAATTTTCAAAGGCCACATTACAGTGTTGCTTCCATAATCTGGACAGTAGTAAGGTAAGAGGAATCTTCAACTGCAGGCAATCACCTAACTACCTTTATATTCTCTGACCAACCACTTTCCAATCAGAAATGAGGTAAATGATTTCCTTCTTATTTCCCAACTCAGCCATGGAATAAGACACCCACCATATATACACAGTCCAAAAGAAATCACTTTGGACTAGAAAAAGTCTTTAGTCCCTAAATGCCTTAATTTGGTATTATTTAGTTGATCCTGAACTATGCTTAGTTACTCTGAGAATAAATGAAATTTCTCTGGGCATCTCATGAACAAAGACAATTCAAGAAGTATGGTATTTTGTATATCATTTTATATTGCCCAAATCCTTAGTTCATTTGGAAATGGCACCTTTTCAATTTGCCTTTCATAAATGCTGCATATTTCCTGTTTTTCAGGAACTAAAATTGGAAGTAGGGGGTAAGAATAGGCACCATTTTGCGTGCCCACTCCAATCAGAAAAATCCACCTACATTTATCTATTTGCATACTGAATTTTGTTTAAAGTAAGAGATTCTATGTCTTTAAAAAAAAATTAACCAATGATTTGATAATCTGTGATGGTTCTAGACTAGTTGAGAAGATGAGAGAAGGATGTATATCAAAATCAAATTTAGATGGTAAGAGTGTGTCATTTGAAAAACCACAACAGGTGATTCTGCTGCCCCGCTGCCCTAGTTCTATACAGAAATCACTGGCCTCAACTAAAAATTTAGGAGAAAATTATGAAAGACTGCTATGCAATATACAAGTATAAAACCATGGTTCAGATGTGTTGAAAATACAACGTAAGAATCAAACACTAAAAGTTATTTGACCATTTTTGTTCTGCTTGCCCTGCCAACCATGAAGTAAGCAGGCTTCTTTCTGAATATTTTTTAAAAAGCTGTCCCTAATTTGAAAAGTTAATGGCAAACGTACATGAAATCATACCAATAAAGTTTAAATTCTTCAGCAACTGATTTCTTAAAATAAATACTGCTGGAATGGACTCTCCCAGACATGCACAGCCACTACGGAGAATTTGGTTTACACAGTAATTAGTGGCACAGGCTTCAAGTCTAGCTCACGGAGGTCGGGCTTCTGTGTACAAGAAGCCTGCTGTGTAAAACACTGCTTAACCTCCTGAAAGGAGCACAGTATTCAATGAAAAAACTTTTTTTAAAACCAAGGACATGGACTAAACTGGAGGGAAACATCACCCAGCAAAATGACTTGAGTCAATCACAGGCCTGTTTGTGATTTTTGTCTGTCAACCGCCCACTGCCTCCCACTTCATCTATTCTACCTAGCTTTCTATCCATTAAAACCCAAACCTAAAGATTTATTTTACAAAATAGCTCTAAACCCCTTTCCCAATCAACCAAGGAAAATAAAGAGAAGTCACATTTTACATATCCAAGGCATTAAATCTGCTGGTGAAAGGTTTACTTTTATAACAACAATGATCCTGCACTAATTATAAAAGTCTAAATTATAAAATAACACCTTTGAAGGGCCTAAAGTTGGAAGCCAGCTTGTATAGGAGATCTAGGGTATAAAGGGTTTACCTCAACTTTCCACAATTAAATCCTGAAAAAAACAAAACCAAACTCATTGCCATCAAGTTGATTCAGACTCACAGCAACCCTGAAAGACAGGGTGTGTGTAAAACTGCCCCGTCAGTTTCCAAGACCGTAACTCCCTACAGAGTAGACAGACCTATCTTTCTCCCAAATCCTGAAAAGCCAAGTCCAAAATAATGTTATAGCCTCAGACTTGCTAACTGCTTTATTAAATTATCTCCATTTAAAGCTCACTGCTGAGGAGTCAACTCCGACCCGCGGCAAGCCTGGATGACCTGGTCTACACTGCTCCTTAGGGTTCAGTCTTTACAGAAGCAGACAGCCTCATCGTTCTCTGTGGAGTGATCTGTGGATTCAAGTGACTAACTTTTTGGTTAGCCACCCAGAGCTTAACCTACTGCACTAACAGGGCTCCCCTTAGCCTGTTAGCTCAGTGTTTTCACAAAGTACCCCACTCTTTAAGTCTTATTATTATTATTAATTGGGAGTTAATACTTACATCATTCCACAGCTCTATCCTGTCATGCAGAGTTGTACAATTGCTACTACACTCAAGTGTCCAAGCATTCTTTTTCTTCCTGGACGACTTGACATCATCTCCCTTTTACGCCCCACCACCAAGGTACCCCCCACCTTGTGAAAGCCTTACTCTACTTGCTGTCCCTTTAGGCTCATCAATCCTGAGTTTCATACACCAGATAACAGAAAAACACATAACACAACTTCAAGAGGGTGACCTTCAATGATATAACACCTCTGAGATAACCTAATGTGAACAAACAAAATACAGAAAATGTTGAAAACCAGATCAGGTCCAACATGCATCAGAGGGAAGATCAACTGACAAAGGTTTAATTGTTCAAGTCAGATTTATTACTTTGATCTTCTATTCTCATCACTCCAATGCATTGCTTAGTAACCCCTCCCTATCATCCCTCAACTGTGGATAGAGGGATGTTTGTTTCCTATGTTCCCACAAATGAATCCTGGGCTCCCACTGTCATCCATAGCCTTCTGCAAACCAGATCCTCACAATTTAGACTCTGACACTAATCCCTCCTTCGGTTTTTGATGATTTGATTTACAGTCCTTTGGTGTAAGTCTTTTCTCAAGGCTCTCATTCCATAAAAAAAATCCTTCCCGTACCAAGATAGGGCCTATTAAAGTATGGCAAAGAATTCCATTACCACATTAGGAATCACTCCCCAACCTTTTATCATTAATAAAGGGAGACTAATTATATGCATGATTTCTAACACTTCTGTTTTTAGCAGAATCAGTCACCATATTTTGCTCCCGTTTGAATTCTTATTTTGTGCACTCACTGGGTAACTACCACATTACATGCTAAATCCAGGGCTGAGCAGTGAGTCTGCTAGGAAAACTAGATCTGTCCCAGACAACTCATAGAGAATAAAGATGAGCAACTCGCTAATAATGCTTGCGTCCCTCGGTGATTAGTGTATCAACAGAAGTTGCACACTCATTTGATGAGTTTTTTTGTTCATATTAATTTCCCCCCAACAGTTTTATTGGCATATAATTCACTTATCATACAATTCAATAGTTCAATCACATCCAGGAGAGTTGTACTATCACATTTGATGATTTTGAGCTGCAGCAAAGCATAACTTACATACAGACTTTGGTTTTATAATGTGGTGTGGTAGTATGACTAAAGCCAAAGAACCCACTGCCATCTAGTCGATTCCGACTAACAGGGACCTTTTGGCACAGAGCAGAACTGCTCTCCAGGGTTCCTGGGCCTGTCCATCTTGAAGGCAACAATCAACTTCCAACCTCTGATCTTTCAGTAAGCAGCCCAGTCCCTGACCCACTGGTCACCAGGGCTCCATGGTACTCAGACTAGAGGCTGAGGAATCTGAATTCTAGTCCTGGCTTCACTAATATAATTACAAACCTTGAACCTAAACTTATAAACTACTGGAACTCAGTGTGCAGATTTCTGACCTAAAGGGGTTGACCAGATGTTCCAACTGTGATCCCTTCCAGGTTTAACGCTCTCTAATTTTATAGAATCTGCATTGAGTCTGACATTCAGAGCAATAAAATGCGAGCTTCTGTTTTAGACAGAAGAGTGACACCAAGTGGAACAAATGCAGAAGTACACTGCTTTTGTTTTTTGGTTTCCTTTTTTTAAAACTTAGTAGCTACTCAGAATCCAATACATTATGCTTCTATTAAAATTTATTAGCTAAATTATAAGAGTCCAGATACTCATAGAATATTGGAAGAGCGCCATATCTTAAATACACCACGTAAACCACTTCTTCATCCAGAGTCAGAAGGAGTCTTATGAGGTCCATCAACTCAATCTTTCTTTAACTTATATTCATAAATTTAAGACTTCAGGTCTGGTCTGAACTCTTAAATTTATGAATATAAGTTAAAGAAAGATTGAAAATTGGGAGGGAAGGAGGGACCAGATTTAAAGCCAGTGCCAGACGAACGCAGCTTGTCGCCAAGGAGTGGTGAGCCAATGGAGGGGCCTGAGGGCTCAGTCCCCATGCCAGCTATGTGGACAACTTCCCCTCCCCCCAGAAGAATCTACTTGAGAGGACGGCAATGAAGCTGCAGCTAGGGGAGAGGGGCATGTCTGATCAGAGCAAAATGGGAGCATTTAAGGGGAGGAGGAGAGAGTGGAGCACATCCTGACCCACCAGGCCTGGAGGACGACATCCCCACTCTGAACAGCAAGTGGACAATATAGCTAATCCCATCACAAGACTCGCTGTCCCTTGATGGCCCTGGGCTCTAAGGGGGACAACACTGGAGACTCAGTATCGGGACTGGCCCAGACGGACCTTGAGACACCGAGGCAAACCACAAAAAGCGTGCGGCAGGGCAACCGTGGCAGCAGAGCAGAGAGCCCCCGAGGGAGTACAAAGGACAGGCTCTGGGGCCAGAGCATGGTATACCCCATCGGTCCTGACTGAAGGACACACCTAGAGATCAAAAATCAGACCTTGATCTATTTACAGGTTTTTCTTTCTGCTTAATTTTTTTTCTTTTAATTAATCTATTCTTCTTTGGGTAATTGGTTTCCTTTTTTTTGCCATTGATGTGTTCTCACTGATCACCTATCTCGCTATGGCTTGGTTTTTATGCATATTATTATCTCTACAGATCTATCTAGATAAGATAGACTGGATGAATAGTCTGAAGGAGAAAACAATGGGACCAAGGTTCTGGGGGGACACGGGAGAGGGGGAGGTGGGGGTAAGGAGGTGGTGCTGACCAACCCAGGGACAGGGGAGCAACAAGTGATCCAAAAACAGTCGCAAGGAGGGTGTGAGAGGCCTGGTAAGGATCAGCAAGGGCAATGTAACCGAGAGAAATCACTGAAACCCAAATGAAGGCTGAGCATGATAATGGGACAAGAGGAAAGTAAAAGGAAATAGAGGAAAGAACTAGGTGACAAAGGGTATGTATAGAGGTTTTAAGACTGGAATGTACACATGTAAATATATTTATATAAGAGTGTGGGGAAACAGATCTACGTGCATATATTTATAGGTTTAATATTAAGGCA